ATGTAGATAACGTTAATGATAGATGCGCGAAAGAGCTGAGCTCTGTGCTGGAAACCTTTGGTCTCACTCAACATGTGAGTGGCCCCACCCATAGCAGAGGACACACTCTCGATCTGCTAATTACTAAAGGGGTTAATATCTCAAATGTAAATGTGGCCAATGTTGCTCTGTCAGATCATTTCTGTGTATTTTTTGATATGTGTCTCAATAGTAAAGCACGAGCTGAATCCTCAATTGTTAGAAGAAGAAGACACATAAACAAAAATACAGGTGAACTTTTCATGGGGATGATAAACTTTGATAACACGTTGTGTTCTACTGTGGATGAATTACTTAACTCTGTCACCTCTAGTGTTTTGGATGTTCTGAACACGATTGCTCCTGTAAAGGTCAAAATTGTTACAAATAAGCAAAAGGCGCCATGGACAAAAGCAGACTCTGTCAGGGCACAGAAGAGAGAGTGCCGGAGAGCCGAGCGGAAGTGGCGAAAGTCAAATCTCCAAGTTGACCATGAGATCTTCAAAGATGCATTGTGCAAGTTCAACAGTGTGCTACGTAGAACGAGGGAAACTTATTTTTTCGAAACAATCGAAGGTTGTAGTGGCAATCTACGCGTTCTGTTCTCAACGGTAAATAAATTGACAAATCCCCCTGTTAAGATGCCATCAGAGCTTACCTCCAAAACCAAATGTAATGAGTTTGCAGAGTTTTTTAATGACAAAGTCCAAGGCATCAAAAATGCCATCACCTCCACAGTAGAAATTACAATCCAACACCCAGTGAAGCTTTTTGGGCTGACACACTTTGCACCAGTACAAAATGAAACTGTCCAAATGATAATTACAAGTCTGAGTTCTTCTACATGTAGCCTGGATGTATTACCTCCTAGATTTCTTAAATCTGTTCTGAGCAGTCTTTTACCTTCACTCACGCATATAGTAAATATGTCTCTTGAATCTGGAACATTCCCAATGGCCCTGAAAACGGCAGTCATCAGACCCCTCCTAAAAAAGAGGAGTCTGGATGCCTTGGCACTTAAAAGTTATCGGCCCATTTCAAATCTGCCTTTCATGGGTAAAATTCTAGAAAAAGTTGTCTATCAACAACTTACAGAATTTTTAATAATCAATCACTCTTTTGATATGTTCCAGTCTGGTTTTAGACCCCACCACAGCACAGAGACCGCTCTAGTGAAGGTAACAAATGACATCAGACTTAACACTGACGCAGGAAAAGTCTCAGTTCTTATCCTGTTAGATTTGAGTGCTGCTTTCGACACTGTCGATCATGGTATCCTCATTCAGAGACTTGAGGACTGGGTTGGTGTTTCTGGAACAGCCCTAAGCTGGTTTATATCCTACCTACAGGACAGAAAGTATTTTGTGGAGATCGGAAACTGTGTCTCAGACCATCTGGCCCTGACCTGCGGAGTGCCACAGGGCTCAATCCTGGGGCCTCTCCTGTTTAATATTTACATGCTGCCTCTGGGTAGGTTAATACACAGTAATAACGTGTCCTATCACAATTACGCTGACGATACTCAGGTCTATGTGTCCCTGACAGCAGGAGAACATGGACCAGTGGACTCGCTCCTTCACTGTATCCAACAGATCAGTGATTGGATGCAAAATAACTTTCTCCAGCTAAACACAGAAAAAACTGAAATTATTGTTTTCGGACCTCAGAAACAAAGAGAGAGCGTTATCTGCCACCTCCAGTCTCTCTCCCTGAAACCCTCAACTCAGGTCAGAAATCTAGGAGTAATAATGGACTCAGACTTGAATTTCAATAGCCACATATCATCTGTGACATCATCAGCTTACTTCCACCTAAGAAACATTGCTAAAATTAAAAACATTGTGTCTAAAGCAGACTTGGAGATTCTTATCCACGCATTTGTCTCCAGTCGATTGGACTACTGCAATGGCTTGTTCACAGGTCTCTCTAAACAAGCGGTAAAACAGCTGCAGTACATCCAAAATGCTGCAGCTCGAGTCCTGACTAGAACCAGGAAGTACGACCACATTAGTCCGGTCCTCAGGTCTCTGCACTGGCTTCCTGTGGCTCAGAGAATAGATTTTAAAGTAGCTTTACTTGTGTACAAGTCTCTCCATGGCCTCGCACCAGGGTACATCCGCGACATGTTGGTGCCATATGAACCAACTCGGGCTCTGAGGAGCACAGGGACTGGACTTCTGTTAGTGCCAAGAGTCGGAACTAGACATGGGGAGGCTGCGTTTCAGATTCATGCAGCTAGAGTCTGGAACCGTCTTCCCGAGAGTGTGAGACAGGCGTCTACTCTGGCAGTTTTTAAAACTGAACTGAAAACAGTTCTTTTTAGCTGTGCATACAAGTGAATGATTTTACATTTGTTTTTATCTTTAATCTTTTTAATGCGCTATGATTATTTATGATTATTTATGATTGTAATCCCTTGTGTGATTTTAATTTTTTACGGTTTTTAACTACTTATGTGATTTTATATATCTTGTGCTCTTAATCTGTCTTTTTATGTTTACTTAAATTCTAATGTTTGATGATTTATGCATGATGTTATATGGGTTGTGAGGCGCTTTGCGTTGCCTTGTGTAGGAAAGGCGCTCTATAAATAAACGTTGATTGATTGATTGATAAGTTGAAATCACAGTCAAACTCGAGGAATTCAAGTGAAGTTATGTGCAATTTATTTCCAAAGTATACTTTACTTGCCAGGGTTTACAGTGTGCGTAGGGTTTCCTCCAGGTGCTCCAGTTTCCCCTACCACTGAAAACATGTACAATAGGTCTGGCATACGTGATGACCTCACTCCCATCTCTGTGTGGAGTGAAAGACAATTTCCCAAAAAAAATCTGTGAAAGGCGCTATATAGATTACTTACCTACTTAGTTCAGCAGACCCGGATTGTAAAACTGTTTTGTCTTTAAAAAGTGTATAGCGTGGGGAAAAGTATTTAGTTACTCAAAAAGATGGGAGGCCTCTACTTGTCATACCTCAAGGCAAAATGAGTGATAAAAATCCAGAAAATTAAAAGCAAATTATAATTGAGAAGAAGTATTTAGCCAATAAAAAAAGTCCATCTCGATACTTTGTTACAGACTCTTTGTTGGCAGCGACAGAGGTGAAAAGTTTCATGTACGTTTTCACACTGTAGCTGGAATTTTGGCTCATTCCTCACTGCATCTTCAAAGCACTCCAAAACGTGGCTCTATTCATTCTGTCCTTCACACGGATCAATCGTCCTGGTCCCTTTGCAGAAACACAGCCCCAAAGCATGATGTTTCCACCCCCTTGCTCAACTCCTCGTGTTTGGAGAAGAAAGAATGCCAGGAGACTATATGTTTGAATTAAAGTTGTCTTTCTGTGCAAACAACTGAAAGACTGTGTTGTCTTTTTAATGTACTGTGATTATTTATGATGTTATTGCCTTCTGGGAGTTTCTGTTTGGTTTTGTTCAACACTTTGAGTTTCCTTGTGTATATGAACTGTGCTTTACAAATAAAGTTGTTTCAGTCCATTAAATTGTCTTAATTAGCTTTGGCACTATGATGCAGACTATTGAAGTTCAGTTTCCCCACTCAAATGAACCAGAAATACATACATGTCATTGGCAAAAGTACAAACTTGACTTTTTACCACATATTCACGACACAAAACCACAGTTAGAGTTTAAACCATTTTATTTACAGCTTTAAAATGTTCTGTACCGAACAGGCGTCCGTAGTTTTTCAGTTTGTTAAAATTCTGGTAGTGTAACACGTCCCCTTTAAGTGGCCGGAGAGTGTCCAGCTCGTCAGCTTCAAGTATTGGTCAAAAAACAACAACAAATAAATAACTTTACAAGCAATACTCAGATCTATTGCACCGGTCCATGGCACGTACCACGCGGCTCCTCGTGGCGTATCACCAAATAGAGAAATAATGCCAACAATACTCATAAAACAAGACAGTATTTACAAACCTCAGACCTGGATGAAACTGCAGGGGGCGCTCCACACGTAAAGGGAGTCCAAACAATACTGTTAAGGTCTGTACTGCAGTAATAAGACGTTAGAATGGAGCCCTTTTCTCCTGAGTGGTTAAGTGCTATGTGCTACAGATGCCCAGGTTCACACACGTCCACAGAGTAATTATATGTTTGATTTGGTGTAAAAAACCACACACAATAACACACACAAAACATGAACATATTATAAAGTCATTGTTATTACTCAAACGGAACAAAAGCTGGGGTATCTAACTTTTTTTTTAACTTGAATGAATAATAGTTTTTGATTTTCCCAACAGATAAACTACAAGATGTGAACAAATCAGGCCAAATACAGTATTGTCTGAATCATATCAGAAAATATTCAATCTTTTACATACTTCTTGAAGAGCCCTGTGAGTCACTATTTGACATTTTGGGCTGAGCTGATTGGTTGAGTGAGGGTGGTCCTCTCGTTTTCCTGGAGATAGAAGCAGCCTGTTTTTAGATCCAGTGACATGGACTACATCGTTCCGTTTTTTGAGGTTTGAAAATTAGGTACCCCAGCTTTAATTTTCAGTCGTCGTTCTTTTTGTATAGATAGACAGAGATATAATGTTTTTCTTAGTTTAACTCATCACTTGTTGATAATCTTGGAAAATATACCCTGAAAACATTTGGATAATAGCAAGAGTAATCTATGTCATAAATATATATTTGTATAATCCCATGAAACCCCCAAAATACAGACATTTCTCTTGAATTAGACTCATTTCAGTATAGAATATATGTTCAAGTTGGCCTATTCATAGTAATTTCTCATACAAAAACATATTTCGGTGAGTTCATAAATGGCTGGACTTATGATCGCAGAAGTATTGTACAGCTCCAGTAGAAAATGAGACGACGAGTTGAAATAGCAAAAATATAGCAGCCATCTTTCGCTTCAAAAATATATTTAGTTTTTTGTGCTTTAGTCCCTTCTGCCCTTGATTGACCCGTGTGTTCTCCCGTCTCTGATCTCTGACCTGGAGCTTCAGATGTGGTAGTTCTTCTGCAGCACCGTCAGATACTCGTGCTTGGCTCTGCTCACCGGGTCCAGGGCCGATCCCACCGGAGAGAGACGGGCCGAGGCCAGGTCCAGCTCCGCGGTGGCTGAGGACCAGAGGGAGGGCATTTACAACGTGGTCAGATTCAGATTCACTTTAATTGACAGAAAAAAACCACAGTGGAATAACTGTGCGAGACTACCCCAGTGTGCAAGAGTTTAGCATCGAAAGAATATATGGATCTAGAACTCTCCTCCACACTCAAAAAACAAAAGATTACATGTTGGATAATACCTTGTAATATTTTAGGTGTATTCTATTCTGTATTTTTTATATTATGTGTGATGTTTTTATTCTTTTGCCTGGTGTCCTTGGGTGTCTTGAAAGGCACCATGAAATAAAATGAATTATTATTATTATTAATTATAATTTTTGTGTTACGGCCCTTTTCCTCGACCTCAGGCAGGCATGAAGTATTAACACAAATAACAAACAGCCCTGATTATAAAACACTGAGACTGGATTATGGTGTGACAGCCTCAAAAACCTTGTACAAAAGCAGAATTATAAATCTACAGAATGTAAGTAATGCTTATTTATATAGCGCATTATACAGACCAAGGTCAGCCAAAGCGCTTTACAAATGTATTTTTCCATTATCTCTACACGGTGATGACAGGACCATCAAAGCCTCTGACCAAATACCATTCACTCACTCGTTCATTCATATTGTGCATGTTTTTAGTGGTAGGGGAAACCGTAGCACCCGGAGGAAACCTACGCAGACATGCAAACTCCAAACAGAAAGGCCTGGAGGTGGAATCGTACCTAGGATCTTCTTGCTGTGAGGCACAAGCTCTAACCGCTGCGCCACCGTGCCGCCCAGATTAGGGTGTACCACAGATTTGCAGCCCTCTGATTGGTCTCTGTCTCAAATCTACAAGTAACCCCTGTTGTGTCTCTGTAAGTATGTTTTGGACCTGCATTTGTCGTTGTAAATGTTATTACGAAGGTTTCTCACTCACCACTTCTCAACTCCTTCGATATGTTTCTGTCCAACTCAGTTCTCATCTGAAAACATAAACAACACATTATTATGAAGGACACTGTACCGAAGAGCAAACACATGAGCTGCAGCTGGAGTTCATGATTCTGATGCAGGGAACATGCATTCACTGCTGCCATCTTTAAAGACACATTCTTTAAAGATTCCCGAGCGTCAGAGATGGAGGCGACTGGTGCTGTCACAGTATAAGCTCAGTATGGGTAACATCCAGGGTCCATTCAAGTGGATGTAAATAATATACCTTAAATGTGACGCTATTTCAGAAGTAATCAAACTGAAATTAAAGCAAGATTTTCCTTTGTGTTGGTCATAGCTCATTTGTGAATCTCAGAAATGGGAGAGACCTGTGGGGCTGGACCTGTGTGGGTTTCCCTGAGACTCACAGCAGCTGAAGTCGGAGGCCACAGCGTGATCCAGTGATAAATTACTATTAGTTGCGTTTTTTTCTTTATAAACAACAACAATTTCTTAGTATTTACTAGAGCAGTCATTTAGAGTGACGATAAAAAATGTATAATCAGTGCTATAAAACATATTCACTTTAGTAGAATTATGGAGGTCACATTTAAAGTTAATGGGCCTCATTCACGAACGGTTCTTAGGAACAGATTTGTACGTAAATCCTACTTACGCGGTTTTTACGAAGAAAGTGGCATTCACGAATATTTCTTGTAACCAGAATTTCTCTTGGGCAAGTACAAATCCTACGAGTCCTCAGGAGCACTCGTACGCATTCAGTGCCGACATGTTCACACGCCGGGGTTGTCTTCTTTGGTGAAGTTGAATAAAAATACAACATTCCAGTGATATGTCCGTCATATCGATGTATGTATTTATTTATTTGTAGTAATCTTTATTAGTAATCTTTATTTATATACCGCCTTTTTCACTGCAGATCTGGCCTACTTTTTAATTCATTTTGAAATGAAATGTGCCAACGCTTTATCAAATACATTGGAAATCTTGCCGTGTATTAGTGACCCCTTCCTATTTATAGGGGGCATTTCTTTATCCACGGGCCACAGAACAACGGCATATATACTGCTGCTGCAGGAGGTTCTATTTCATATGTTGCTTCGCCCTTTAGGCTTCGCTAATGCATATCTCTCGGAAGCATCGCTTGAACGCTTCCCGCCCTGAGAAGATCAAACGATCCACCCTCCAATCACCTTCACGTCCTGGCGTAGGCCAGTCCCCTATAAATAGGGCCATGCACCACAGCTCTTCTCCTTTCTCTCTCAGCTTGCCTAAGAGAAGCTTCGATTCATTTGCTAGGATGTCTTCAAGCAAGATCCCCGCGCCTGAGAACTTGCCACCCTCCGGTGTCAGGCTGCGGATCTGCGACTTGTGCCCAGCGGCACTCTCCCAGACTGACCGCCACGAGTCCAGCGTCTTCTGCCTGGGCTGGCGTCGTGCCGCGGGAGAAAGCCCCAGATGTGTGGCTTGTCTCGCCGTGGATTATTTATGCCGTATAGAGTGGTGCCCTTGGTGGCATCGCTCATGGTGTGCTACCCTCTATCCACGCTGAACAGACGTATAGCTAATACACCACAGATGGTTGTCCTAGCTTAACACATCACTTTGCTCGCTTCATCCCTGGAGTGTCAAGCGCGTGACAAGCAGAGGAGCAGCAGCCACCCCGGCTTTGCAGCTGCAAGGAGGGGAGGGAAACGCTTTAATAAAGGCCATCATCAGGCCCGTTACTCCCTCAAAGAGAACACTTCTTTCCCCTTTTCCTTATCCTCAGCGCTTGGCCAACGCTGCTCATCTGCCAAGTGCCTGGAGCCTCTCTCAGCGCGCCTCTCGTGCGCGCGCTGGAGGCATGCTCCGGGACCGCTGTGCGCTCCCCGTGCCTTTGCCTCTCTTGGGCAGAGAGTGCGCGGCTGCACGCTACCCTCCTACGCTCTCTGTGCGCCACGAGCACCAGCTCACAGCTGTCCTGCCCTCACGCTGCTACCCGGTAAAAGCCAGGGCCGCAGCTAGGGCTCAGACCTTTTTCCAGCGGCCCCCCACTATCCAGAGCAATGAGTGGTACTGCTCTCCCCCCCCCCTCCTCAGTCCACAGTGTTGGGGAGCGGGGGCTCGGCTCCACGTAAGCGCAGCACACCTGCCCTCACGTGGCCACCCAGAAAAAGGGCCCAGGGCCGCAGCTAGGGCCCAGCCCTCTTCCCAGGGCCCCCCCCACTGCAAAAAGTGGGACTGCTCGGCCCCCTATCAGTCCACAGTGTTGGGGAGCGGGGGCTCGGCTCCACGCGGCCACCCGGAGAAGGGCCCTGGGCCGCAGCTAGGGCCCAGCCCTCTTCCCAGGGGCCCCCCCACTGCAAAAAGGTGGGACTGCTCGGCCCCCTCTCAGTCCACAGTGTTGTGGAGCGGGGGCTCGGCTTCACGTAAGCGCAGCACACCTGCCCTCACGCGGCCACCTGGAAAAAGGCCCAGGGCCGCAGCTAGGGCCCAGCCCTCTTCCCAGGGGCCCCCCACTGCAAAAAGTGGGACTGCTCGGCCCCCTCTCAGTCCACAGTGTTGTGGAGCGGGGGCTCGGCTTCACGTAAGCGCAGCACACCGGCCCTCACGCGGCCACCTGGAAAAAGGCCCAGGGCCGCAGCTAGGGCCAAGCCCTCTTCCCAGGGGCCCCCCACTGTAATAAGTGGGACTGCTCGGCCCCCTCTCAGTCCACAGTGTTGGGGAGCTGGGGCCCGGCTCCACGTAAGCGCAGCACACCTGCCCTCACGCAGACACCCGGAAAAGGGCCTAGGGCCGCAGCTAGGGCCCAGCCCTCTTCCCAGGGGCCTCCCACTGCAATAAGCGGGGCTGCTCGGCCCCCTCTTAGTCCACAGTGTTGGGGAGCAGGGGCTTGGCTCCACGTAAGCGCAGAACACCCGCCGTCACACGGCCACCCGGGAAAAGGCCCAGGGCCGCAGCTAGGGCCCAGCCCTCTTTCAAGGGGCCCCCCACTGCAATAAGCGGGACTGCTCGGCCCCCTCTTGGTCCACAGTGTTGGGGAGCAGGGGCTCGGCTCCACGTAAGTGCAGCACACCTGCCCTCACGCGGCCACCCAGAGAAAGGCCCAGGGCCGTAGCTAGGGCTCAGGCCTTTTTCCCACGGGCCCCCCACTATCCGATGCCTCCCCAGGATGGGACATCTGTGGGCGGACCAGGCCTTTCTCCCTCCTCCCATCTCGCTGTGCTTCCCTTGACCCATGTTGTCACTGTATCGGAACAGTCGGGGCTCCGGGGAACTCTGTGGATACACAGAGTGCTGAGTCGGGGCTATGCTCTCCAGTTCTCCTGGCGGCCCCCTCCTTTCTGCGGCATTCTCCAGACAGGGCTAGGCAGCCCGGAGAACGCCGTGGCGCTTCACAAGGAGGTCAACACGCTTCTGCAGCGCCGGGCGGTAGTGGAGGTAGACCCGCTCAGGACAGGGACAGGGTTTTACTCTCCATACTTCATAGTCCCCAAAGAATAAAAAAAAAAAAAAAAAAAAAAAAAAAGTGCGGAGGGGTGCGGGCCATGCTGGACCTGCTCGTCCTCAATGGCTGCATAGCCAAGCGACTGTTTCGCATGCCCACAGTAAACAGCTACTCCTGAGCATCAGGCCCGGGGACTGGAGGTCCTCCGTGGACCTCCACGACGCGAATTTTCACAAACCCATTGCACAGGGGCACAAGAAGTTCCTCCGGTCCCCCACTCGGCTACTCCCTAGCCCCCCCGCACCTTCTCCAAGTGTGTGGAGGCGGCGCTAGAACCCCTTCGGCGTCAGGGCCTCAGGACACTGACGTATATCAACGAATGGTGATCCTGTCCTCCCGGGAGGATGCGCAGGATCAAACGTTCAGAGTGTTAAACCACGTGCCCACCTAGGGTTTGTGATCAATAGGGACAAAAGCTCCCTGTGCCCGGCCCAGGAGATCTCGTATCTGGGACTAGGCTTGAATTCCAGGAGAATGACGGCTTCACTCTCGCCAGAGAGAGAAGCGGCGGTTCAGAACCTGGGCCGGATCGTTCTGGGTGAACCTCAGGTGCAACCGCGGCAGATCCAGTCTCTCTTGGGCATGATGGCAGCGGCCCATCCAGTGGTGAGACTGGGGTTGCTGCACATGCGATATCTCCAGAGGTGGTTCTCACACCTCAGGGGCTTATCACGGAGGGAGCGACTGTCGTTGAGGGCTCAGAACGACGTCGCCTTCTGGCTGTCCCCAGGTCGACTCCAGGAGGGAGTTCAAATGGGTGTTGTGGACCACCACATCAAGGTCTTCACGGACGCCTCACTGAGTGGTTGGGGAGGCGTGCTCGGCCACCACTCGACAGGAGGCGTTTGGTCCTCCCCCTTGGGGCACATCAACCTCCTGGAGTTGGAGGCGATGCGGTTGGTGCTGGCCCATTTCATGACCAGACTGGAGGGCCAACAGGTGATTGTTCGGACGGACAACACCACTGTGGCAGCATATCTGAACAGGCATGAGGGGACCAGGTCCCCCGCCCTTCACAAGCTGGCAGTGGAGGTTCTTCTGTGGGCGGACATTCACCTAGCCTCTCTGAGGGCCCGTCATATCCCAGGCGAGCGTAACGTGGCCGCCAACAGGATGTCCAGGGGCGAGGCCTTGCGGGACGAGTGGGGTCTCGCCCCAGCGGTCGTGGCAGAGGTCTGGCTCCGGTTCGGGACACCGGTGGCCGACTTTTTCCCAAATGCAGAGAACGCACAGTGCCCACTCTGGTTCTCGCTCAGGTCCAGCAACGAGCCCCCTCTCAGGGTGGACGCCATGGCGCACCGGTCGTGGCCCAACGGTCTCCTCTACGCCTTCCCGCCTCGCCGGCTCTTGGCAGCCCTGCTTTACAGGGTGAGGACGGAGGAGTCTCCATCCTGGGGTGGCGCCGGACAGCCCGGGAGCCAGGTGCTATCCGGACCTGGTGAGCATGGCGCTCAGTCCGCCTTGGCCCGTTCCGGACCGTCCTGATGCTCTGAGACAGGCAGGGGGAGCCCTTTACTCACGCCCTGTCCTGGGAAGCAG